CAGGTTTGCTGGTCTGATAGAGCTTGGTGGAACCACTGAGACTATGGCCCCTAGCTGCCCTTCAGGTCTGGAACTGAACTGACAACTGTGGCTTCCAGACAAACAAAAGACAGGAATATGAGTTGAACATTTACCTAAGGTAGGTATACTCCTTGGAGAGAACAATCATGGGAGAATAGAAGGGCTGTTTATGCACAAGGAGACAGCTCAGGGGGCAGGAGTGAATGGAGGGATGGACATGGGGAAAAGGTAACTATCGGGAAGAAGTGGGAGGGGAGCTGTTGCATTGTGGTAAATTGTAGTCAATGTGATGAGACAAAGTGTATGTGAACTGCTGTATGGAAAGTAAATTTTCTCTGTAAATTTGCACCCAAATCACGACGAAAACAAACAAAAAAAAAATCTGACACCTCCTCCCCATCTATCATGAAGATGGCCCATTGTTTCACAAACTTCAAGTTGAAATCAAACTCCTTACAAACAACTAGTCACAAGCATCAGCCTCTAATTTGACAGGTTCCAACAGTGGTTTGGCCTTACCTTTTCCCATTGCTCATCAATTGCAGATTTAGTTAATTTTTTCTAAAGCAAGCATTAAGGAATCTTTGGAACAGTCAATTAAAAAAAAAAAAAAAGAATACTAGAAAGATGTTTACCTGTGCTTTATTGACTATGTAAAGGCATTGAACTGTGTGAATCATAACCAATTATGGATAACATTGCAAAGAATAGGAATTCTAGAACACTTAAATGTGCTCATTAGGAACCTGTACATGGACAAAGAAGCAGTTATTCCAAAGAACAAGGGAATACTGCATGGTTTCAAATCAGGAAGGGAGTGGGTCAGGGTTGCACACTTTCACCAACTTATTCAATTTGCATGTTAGGCAAATAATCCAAGAAGGTGGACTATACAAAGAACACAGCATCAAGATTAGAGGAAGACTCATTAACAACCTGCGATATGCAGATGACACAACCTTGCTTGCTGAAAGTGAAGAAGACTAGACGCACTCACTGATGAAGATCAAAGAGTATAACCTTCAGTTTGGATTACACCTCAATACAAAGAAAACAAAAATCCTTACAATTGGACCAATAAGCAATATCATGATAAATGGAGAAAAGTTTGAAGTTGTCAAGGATTTCATTTTATTTGGATCCATAATCAACACCCATGGAAGCAACAGCCAAGAAATCAAACAACTTATTGCCTTGGGAAATCTGCTGTAAAAGACTTTTTGAGGAGCCTGGTGAAACCCCTGAGACTATGGCCCCTAGCTGCCCTTCAGGTCTGGAATTGAGCCCACTCCTGTAGCTTCCAACCAAATAAAAGACCGGCATATGAACTGAACATTTACATTAGTAAAATGATCTCTTCTTGGAGAGATCAATCATGGGAGAACAGACTGGCAGTGCATGCACAGGGAGACAGCTCAGGGGGCAGGAGTTCATGGGATGGAAGGACACAGGGAAGAGGTAGCTATTGTGGGGTGGGGGGAGGATGGGATGAGAACTGTTACACTGTGGGAAATTGCAGTCAATGTCATGAGACAACATGTGTATGAATTGCTGTATGGAAAGTGAACTTGCTCTGTAATCTTTAACCCAAATCACACACACACACACACACACACACAAAGACCTCCTTAAAATGTTCAAAGCTGTTACTTTGAAGACTAAAGTGGGTCTGACCCAAGCCATGGTATTTTCAATTGCCACATATGCGTGAAAGCTGGACAGTGAATAAGACTGCAGAAGAACCCCTTCGTGTGAATTATGGTGTTGGCAAAGAGTAGTGACTATACCATGGACTGTCAAAGGAATGAACAAATCTGTCTTGGAAGAGGTACAGCCAGAATGTTCCTTAGAAGTGAGAATGGTCAGGCTTCATCTCTCGTACTTTGGACTAGTCCTTGGAGAAGGAAATCATGCTTGGTAAAGTAGAGGGTCAGTAAAAAAAACAGGAAGACTCTCAACAAGATGGACTGACATAATGGCTACAACAATGGGCTCAAGCATAGCAAAGATTATGAGGACAGCACAGGACCAAGCAGTGTTTTCACCATGTTGTACATAAGGTCACTACAAGTCAGAACCAACTCAACAACATCTAACAACAACGACAAGAACATGGTTTCCACATTGGGCTCTCACTCGCCCTCTCTTTACCTCTTAGATTACTTGCTTTGGGGGAAGGCAGCTGCTATGTTAAGTAATGATATGGAGAGGCCCATGTGACAAGAAAATAATGTCTGTCGACAACCATATAAGTGAACCTGGAAGTATATTTTCTAGCCCTAAACAAATCTCAGATGCCTGCATCCTCAGTTAACACCTTGACTGTGACCTCATAAAGTTTCTGAGCCAAACGACCCAGCTAAGCTAATCCTAAACTCCTGACCCACAGAAACTATGATATAAGGTTTGTTTTAAATCACTAAGTTTTGAGGTGATGTATTATGTAGCAATAGATAACTAATTCATCTGGGCAAGGATGGTAATAGTCTAGGGTTTATAATATGAAAATTTGGGCTCAAGTCCAGCAATAGTGCCTTACTAACAGAATACTCTGGGTAAGACATATTAAATGTCTCTGAGCCTCAGTTTCCTTACTTGTAAAATGAGAAAACTAAGATGACAGCAATACACTACAAAATAAACAGCACATCCTAATACTAGAACATCAGATAGTCAAGGTAGAAACCAGTCTGCAGTAAAAATAAATCTGATCTTTAAGGCACTGAGGTTCAGAGACCTCTGCCTAAAATAAGCAGAAAACTCTTCTGATAAATGTTACAAAAAGCAGCTTTTCAAGGTCTTCGAATTGAAATAAGGATCAGATTTACTTCTAAAAACCCAGAAGATATAAAAAAAGGCAAATTGCAACTCACTTACCTAAAAGTAAAAAAGTATGATTTATATCATCTTAGCAAACTAGGACTATATAGTCTACAAACCATCCAAAAAGCTGGCGGCCTACTCTTACTCGCAGCAAAATCCTTCATACCTCCCTAGACCCCTGACCTGGCATTGGAATGAAATGCACTGAGTTTGCTGTGCACCAAATTGCTCTCTTGCCAAAACAAAAACAGAGGCACCAATTCTGGTGTCAGACTCAATCTAGATGCTTTTTAAGGAATAAAGATAATATACACGTTTGGGATCACACTAATGTGATGCAGCTGTTCCTAGGCATTAAAATAAGAAGAATATAGAAATAAATGGTACAGAAAAGAAAAAACCTGAATACTTAATATTTATTTAACTATGATTTTCTAAAACCATAAAATTCTTAGAAGAACAAGCAGGGGCAATGTTGTGAGGCCTAGCTTTCAACAATGGATCTAATATACTAATAAAAGTACAAACAGCAAAAGACAAAATAAACAAATGGAGCTTCATAAAAATTGAAAGCTTTGGTTTGTAAAAAGACTTTACCAAAAAAGTGACAAGACAAGCTAGCAACTGAGAGACTATCTTTGGAAACCCTACCTCTTACAAGAATCTAAATAATCAAAATATACATAAAACTTTGACAACTAACTACAAAACCACAAACAATCCAATCATAAATGGGCATAGACATTTCATGAAAAAGGACACTCAAATGGCCACCAAACATGTGAAAAGACGCTCAGCATCATCAGCCATCAGCACCTGCCATGCGGAGCTGCCGAGTCATTTCTGACTTACAATGACCCTATGCACCAGCAACTCACGACCACTGCTATGCTTGAACCCGTCGTTGCAGCCACTGTGTCAATCCACCTCATTGAACATTTTCCCCTTTTTCACTGACTCTCTACTTTCCCAAGCATGATATCCTCTCTCGGAATTGGTCCCTTCTGACAACATGACCAAACCATGACTTTTGGAGACTTATTGGAGCCAAGGGGGTAGATGAACCCCTGAAACTACTGCCCTGAAATAATCTTTAAACCATAAACCAAAAATATCCCGTGAAGTCATCTTAAAACCAAACAACAGTTTATCTTAACTAGTAAAAAATGTCTGCCTTGAGCATAACATTCTTTCAAGAACTATCTATATGGGATCAAATTAACAACAGCAACTCAAAAGATTAGACAGGAATCTTAGAGGGCAGTGAGTTTATGTTAATGAGGGAAGAATCAAAAAAGGAGGGTAAGAACAGTTATACAACTTGAAGAATGGAATCAATGTCTAAATTGTACATGTAGTAACTGTTAAAAAATATATGATGATTTTCAGTTGCCTTTCATTATACTCACTGTAAAGAACTGTGATAGACAATCAGATCTCCTCAGGAAGTAGGACTCGTCCAGCCAGGCCACTATGCTCTGAGGAGTTCTGGCTAGGCTGCTAGAACCATGGAGGCAAAGAACGGGCCAGAAGCTCTCTGACCTCATCTTACCTTCTAACTACTGCTGACTAGTGATACTGAAGCCCAGGATGGCTAAATGGCCTGCTGGAATGCCATATCTTTGGGTTACAATGGCTCCCCATGACTACTGCTTCAATATGTCAGCTCTGCTTTCCATGCAGTACGCCTAAAAATGATACTAACGCTATGCACAGAATCAAATTGTGATTGGTACTTTTTCCCCCTTCTGGAAAGATGTACAAATTCAGGCTACACATTGTTCCCTGACACTTCCCCACATACACAAATGTCTTTTTTTTGAAGTGATGTTTTCAGAGAACTCTTATGTGACTAAAATTTTCTGTCACTTGATTCTATAAAATAGACTTGCACACATTAAATGAACCATGGTACTTACACATAGAGATCCATAGGAAACTCCTTCATCATGTGTGTTACAATAAACTCTACCATTAAGTCTGAAAGGGGAAAGGAGAAAAATGGCATCAATAATAACTCTGAGTTGGAAAATTCTGAGAACACCTTGCACTCATGCTGAATGGCATCCACTAACCACATCTGTATTCACATGCACTTAAATTCAATTTATATAAAGTACTCTTTGCAACACTGTTCACAACCTGCCACCTGTAAAGTAATAAGAAAATTAGTTCATTCTCCTATTTCCATAAGATTACCTTTGACCTGCCAATAAACTTAAAATACAAGGAAGATTTCACCATAGAGATATTTCATACCATGGCACTAAGGCAAAATGCCAGAGGGAAGTCATACTCTAAGAACAGAACTGAAACAAGCAGAGTAGAAATATGGAGCTCATCCGTGTAACCAAAACTCAGCTCTAAGCTCTATCAGTCTGTCTCATCTCATTATCATACTCAGTGTGACAGATATTGACTGCAATGATCTGTGAGGTTCTGAGTCAATAGAGGCTTATAATATAGTTTTAATTACTACTTCTAAAATCAAATAAATTTAGAAACCAAGGCTGAACATCCAAGTGAAATGCGATTAAAAGTTCAAATAATTCCTGTGGGGAAAATGCAGAATTCTGGCAGAAAAAATTAGCTAAAATATAGCTCTGTGCCTGCCAGCTCTGTCAGCCTTGTGGAAGCTTTGTTTACTCAGAGGACATCTGAATGTCTGAACCTTGAACTTGAAGCCTCCTGACCAGCTGACACATCAATTAAGACCAAGGAAACGAGGAAATAATTTGACTCTTGATCAAGAATGATATATTTTATCAATTTAAATTATGCGTCAAGGTTAGTCATAGACATTTGTCGCCCTGAAAAGATTTTTCTCCTTGAACAATGTCTTTTGATTGACCACTTTAGTCACTGGAGTTGTTTTACCAAACGTAACAATAAACACAACTTCTAGGCCAGAGAAGAAACTTAACTAGTAACTTCTTCTCTGAGGGAAAAGTGCATCAACCAGGATTTACCCATCCTCTTAATCATAAAAACTGTAACTATCTTGGAAAAATGACAATTTTGATGATACTCACTCACCCAGTACTGCACACACCAAGGGTCGACAGGGGAGATTCTTGTCTGCTGCCTTCTTCCTGTGCCTCATGGGCTTCACACACAAAAAAGAAAAGAAATTAGTATACACCTGACCTGCCACACAATGGCTCATCCTAATTCTTCTCATGCAAATGAAATCACTACTACAGAGATGCTACCTTTTCTTTCTTTTTTTCTAGAGGTGGGGGTAGTGGGGCAGGGAGGACTTGTAAATGATCCTCAGTTATCAATGCAGGCCTGGGACAAAAACACAATCCAGGGCAAGAAGGCCCCAAAGGGCACTGGAGCATATACAACAACAACAGGAAAGCTGTTGTTTTTACTGTGATTTTATCTATACATATGACACTACTAAGGACAAGAGAGAAAACTGGTATTTTTTCTTTGATAATAAAATAATTAAGAAAAAGCAGAGATGGTGGGGACAGCAGCAGGTATGGCAGAAGCCAAGTGTAGCCGTAGCAAAAAACAAAAGTAACTTCCAAACCTAAACTTTAATATGCCGTTTTTTAACATACCTCCAAGCTTTAGGAAATTCTCTCAATCTCTGTATTTTATTTCTTCTACCTCTTAGATGAATAAATCAAAGTAGTATCTAATCTTAACCAACGAAAGAGCAGCCAAAGGCTTAGACCCATCTCCTTATTGAAACCTATGTTCGAGATACACTGCCAACATTACTTCCATGAATGTCCAGTTGTACATCTTTCCACACTCTCTTAAGTAAGATATAGCTCCAAGACATACAAAAAAATCCAAATAATAGGTATGGGTCTACTGAACAGCAAAGTCAAGCAAGAGCCCCTTGGCACAACTTTTCTACCCCCAGTCATTCTAGTAGGATCAATTTCATCCTCCTTTCAACATCTGCCAACACACACACACACACACCCCACACACACAATTTTCTCTAAGATAAAACAAGAGCAAAAGTCACACCTACCATTCTATGTAAGTTTACTCGAAAATTCATGTTGTCATCATGCAAAAATGCATTGGCATACTGATCCTAATAAAAATAACAACAGAGAAAACATAAGGAGTGAAAGCTACACTTAAGAAACTACTACACTTCCTACAAAGCCCCAGGCTTTAAGAACCACTTTCAAGGATCAGTTGGAAAGCTACTGGGATGTGCCTAAAGCCTTTGTGTCAAACCCTACTTAAGCCATGAGATTTTACTCAGATGTAATTTCCCAGGGTGTCTAACTGGTCAAAATCTCTAAGCAAATTACAAATAATAAAAATTAAGACATAGGGACTTGAGGCAAATGCTGAGAGGAGTCTGTTTTCTTATTCTCTCTTCCTTCCCATCTGCCCAAGGTGCCAGCTCTGTTTGTGACAGCTTGAAGGTTTTCATAGGGGCTACAGGATGCATGTGCAGGCTCCACATGAGGCCCTACGAACAAGGTCTGTGCTCTGCTGGGAACGGCTTCCCACAGCAGGAGAGAACTGCTACACAGGGCGCAGGGCAGCAGGCAAGACCCTGTCTGTCCCTGACTTTGCTGAAGACTGATGGAAAAATCAAAAAACTCTCACCATGGAAGGGTAATAAACATCCCTTGGCCCTTTCCCAACACCCTTTGCGAAGATCTGACATGCCTACAGACTCCAATTACTAGGAACTGTTACAATTTGTGAAAAACAACTCCTGTTAAAGATTTTCTTAGAAAGATTTTTGAAATGCAATTACACTAGCCCACTGCTAATAAGCAGCTCTTCTATACCCAGCTACCCCTAATCCTGTGAAAAGTAGGTCATCCTTTCACAGAGAACATAAAAGGAAAAAGACAGAGCCATCGCGACTCCATCTGGACCACCTATACTATTTTGCTTAAGAGAGAAAAGAGGAGAGTAAGAAATGGTAGAGGGGAGGTTGAAGCTATAATGTCAGCTCTAAACTGACTTCAGTTCTGTCATACCTGCATGCCACCAAGATACAGAATGAGTTAATGTAATTAAACCAACCAAAGATGCCTCCCTACTATGCCAAAGTACCTCTTCTCTACCCATCCCCCACAGTGCTTGTTCTTCACTAAAATGCAACCAGCCCAGTTTCTGACTCCCCTCTCTAGTTTTCTCTCCACTCTCCCATAGGAAACCTGAGTTCCTCTTCTTTAATTTGCTAAATACAAAAGACCCAACAAGAACAACTCCAAAGGGGCAGGGTTTGTTTTTCCTCAAGAGGTGCAAATCTCTTGTTTAAAACTCTTAAGAGCCCAAATTTTCCAGTTCTCAGTTACAGCAGTTGTCACATCATGATTCATTATTAATTCACCTAAAAAATATTAACTGAGTCTCTACTATGTGCCAAGCACTGAGAATACAGTGGTGAAGGCGACAAAGGCCCCGTCTCAGAGCTTATATTCCAGTGACAGGCAGAGAATACAAAGGTGGAAGAGTTTTACTCCCAAGATTCAGGACCCTGAAGTCAAGACACAGGAACTGGTAGAAAATGGCGGGGAAAGGAAGCACTTTTTATAAGATTAGCTAATATCAGAAGACCTACCTCTGCAATACATGTAAGGATAATCAAACAGAGTTTGCCACTGTGAAGCCGGTGCTCATCTGTAAAGAAAAAACAAACTCTTCTCTGTGAATCACCCAGACCACAATTCTGTAGAGAATACAGATGTTCATCACAGCAAAGAACATTCTCACAGTTTCGATCCCCACAAAATTCATGAATGAAAATCAAGGTACTGCTAGAGTACTTCTTGCTCCCTTCTAGGCAAAAGAATTCCCCCCAAAATTTTATTCTTAAGTATCCTGATAATCTGATGAATAGCTCACCATGTTCTTGAGAGCTATCTAATCCTTGAAATGGTCCCTACTGCCATGGCTCAAATCACTTTCAGACCAGCCCTTTGCTTCTGCATGTTCAGGTCTGTTCCCTTTCCCACCCTTCCCCACACACCAGCTACAAGTACCACTATCAATACCCATCTAGTACAAAGTCTAGAAAGCTTTCATCACTGTGGGTAGCAAATCAGCAATGGAATCAGAGAAAAATGAGAACTTTTTACTGGAGACCAGGATCTAGTCTATGCTTCTCCCTGCACTGTGCACATTACTTATGACCTGGAAAGCTGTGAACAGTTGATCATTTTTCTTCCGCCAAAGTTATTCACTCAAAAAATATTTATTTAGAATCAACTATATGGCTGTTAAGTGCTAGAAATACAGCACTGAACTAAATAGATAAGGTCCCTGGTATCCCAGAATTCACACTCCAGTTATCAGAAAGGAAAAAAGCAACCTCGATAGCTGGGCTCTAAGTCCACAAACGAAAGACCAAGAAAAACCTACTCCATCACTGCCAATTGTCAAAACCATCAAAGCGAATTTATTTTCCAGGAACTTTATGGGTGAGGGGGTAGAAGGAGAGGTAAGAGGGCCATGCCAGGATATTCGAAACAGACAAAAGGCCCATGACACGTCAAATTAGATTGACAAGGTCCAGATTGAAGTCTATTACAGGAAAAAAAAAAAAAAAAAGACCTATTAACAGAATACAGTGCTATAGAAGTTAGCCAGCAGTACTCACCCTGACATTAACCTGCTTCTTCATCAAAGATGGAATCAGCTAAAACTTTGTAATAAGAAAGCACCGTTGGTGCACGCAAGGCAAGTGGGACACACTGCAGTCTAGAAATCCATGTGCCTCTCCTCAGAGAGGTTGTTGTTATGTGCCATCGAGTTGGCCCCAACTCACAGCGACCCCTCCCTGGGTTTCTGAGGCAGTATCACTACAGTAGATTGCCCAAGCTTCCTTCTGAGGAGTGGCTGGTGGGTTTGAACTGCCAGCCTTCTGGTTAGCAGTCAAGTGCCTTAGGCACTATGTTACAAGAGCTCCTTCCTCAGAGATAGGCAATACAAAAAGAGTAATGATACTATGCTACAGTAAAGAACAATGAAGAATACACGAATCATTTCACAACATGGATGAACCCGGAGGACATTATGCTGAGTGAAATAAGTCAATCGCAGAAGGACAAACATTTTGAGTCCATTACTGTAAAAAGTCAAGGAAGGGTTTGCTTAGGGAAGGGAACTCACTTAGTAGGTTACCAGGGAGGGGACAGAAGAGGAGGGAAAATTTCGGACTAGTTGGGGGCCGCACACTGAGTTGGGTAAAAGGAGGGATGGTATGGAAAGAGCCTGTGACCAGTATGATAACATTGTGGAAAGGGAGGACACCAAATTGTGCACATAAGATATAGACAACAGAGGCTAATACCAGTATACTCCCCATACTGCATTACCACTAACACCAAACACTAGGCTACAGATAAATACACAGACAACTGAGAAGATCAGATGGGGGTCAGTGAACAGAAATATACTTTAGACCAACTACTCTTGCACAGACACTAGGGCTACAAAGTAACTGTAATCATTACAGAAGCAACAGAAGACAGACATAAAGCCATCTCTCACAGAGAGCCAGACACCATGGGAGAGAGAGCCACTGGATCTGCCCACTCAGGACCATAGTATTGGGGGACACTAGACTCAACTGGCACCAACAAAACACCTAAAAATCTTGTTCCACAACCTACACTGGGGAGTAGCAATTGGGGTTTTAAAAGCCTTCGAGCGGCCATCTAAGATACTGCTAATGGTCTCCTATTGTTGGAAGCAAGGAGTTGGAAGCAAAGAAGAGTGAAGAAGACCAAGGGCATTTGGAAACAATCAGCCCTAGGACATGATGGACCTCAAGACCAGAAGCACTAGATGAGCCAGCTACCAATGCCAACACTGAGGAAGGGATCAAAACTGGAGACCCTAGATAGAGTGGGAGGAAAAACATGGAACAAAATTCAAAAATACAATAATGACCAGAATTACTTGTCAGATAGAGTCTGGTGGGACCCCCAAGACTACAGCCCTGGGTTATACTTTGGGCCTGGGATAAAACTCACTCCCAAGGCTGGCTCTCAGTCCACAGTAATAAGACTTACACGCAGAACACTCAACCACCTACTCTACGGAGATACATTTCTTAGAGCCATCAGCCATGGAGCACCGGAGGGGCAACATTCCCACGGAGGAAAATCTGGGTAGAAAGGAGTGCATAACTAAAAAGGGCACAGGGATGGGTGGGGGGGGGGCAGGGAGAGGGGGAGAGTAGGTTAGGGTTGGAGATGGTAACTGGGGAGTGAAACCTAATATACACAAACTGCTGAATGTTAAATTCTGCTCCATAAATTTGCACCTAAAGCACAAGAAAAAAAAAAAGAGTAATGAGGTAATAAGCTATAGGGAATGTCCTACGGACTTTCCTATAGCTTAAATCAGAGCCCCCAGGCAGTCAGAAGTGCAAGAAAATGCCCCTGCCTAGGCAACATTCGAATCCAACTATCCGCGGCCAGTTTCTCTGGCACTAACCTTCCTTTTCCCAAAAGCTGATAAGCAACTCCCACAGAAAAGCCTACAGCTATCTCTCCACTTTAGGAAATTTCCATAAGAAAATCATCTCTGACAAGTAAGGCACATTTCATTACAAACATATTTTTAATTCAGAAAAGCAAAAGGACAATAAAATCCTATGTTACCATACCACCCAGATAGCATAACTATTAAAACTTCAGGGTACCAACTTTAAGTCTATGAATAAAGATAAATATGTATTTTTTAAAATTTTTGCCTAATGCTTTTTTTTTTTTTTTAAATGTTGAGCCGATACTCCTTTAAAGTGACAACACCAAAGTCAGAAGAACACACAAAAAAGAAAAGCTTCAAAAGCACAGCCAAATCAAGGGAATGATAAACACAAAATTCCGGAGAAAAGAGGAAGGAAGTGAAAGGGAGCTTCAGTGGCATTAATAATTTTCTATTTCTTGAACTTGAGTGGTAGGTTCATATTCTTTCATTTTATCATTATAGTTTATAACTTATGCTCCTTATTATACTTATTATAAAATTTATAAGTGTTCTATACATATCTATTAAAAGTATCTTTTTGTAGGTATCAGATGATGCATATATAATAATAAAGGAAACGATAATATCCTGGGTGGGGGAGGGGGGAGCAGAGCCAAGAAAAAGTTGCTTTTATTGCTCCCGAAAACATGATGAGATCCAAGGCATGCAGCAAGTTAGAGACTTAACAAACAGAGGAGAGCTGCACCAATGGAGCCATTTCTGAAATTAACTCTTTGCCATAACTAATTTGTCCTTGCCATATTTAGGCTGCCTGTTGACAAAGTCTTGCCCCAGCATGATGAGTTCAGAAACATTATCTGAGGCCACCTAATCATCCCTCAATTTTGCCTTTCATTTTACAGATGGTAAAGTGACCAGGACAGAAAGGCTTACCTAATCATCAACACTAAAAATGAGTTCCAAAGGCCTCAATTTACTGTGTTATATTAAGCAAAGCTAAAAGTTCATTCTCTGGGTCACACCTATGCAATTTCTCTTCTGTGGTTGCTCCAGTATTTCTACAGAAAGGAAGAAGTTACCCGTTTCCATAAAGGAGATCAAGGGCCTCAGGAAACTGACATACAAGAGTCTTATTATCCTTGCCCACCACATCTCACTTGCCAAGTCTCAGAGGTTCAGCCATCTCTGCAGCTCCCAACGGACAGTTCTATGTTAGGAGTTTGTGACACGGGCGACTTCCATCTAGCTCATCCCTATATAGAGCTCTCTTTCTCAATACAGCACACTCTTGGGACATAAGGGAAGAAAAAAGTCTAAGAATGCAAGGCGGAAGTCTCTAAGAGTATGTCTGAATGTAACAGGGCTTGACTCTGCCCACCCAGGCTCCTTTCAGCTCTAACAATTGTTCATTTCCCATATTTATCCTTTAGCTCCCCTATCTCTGTGTTCTGATGTTTCTTTCTCAACCCAAATGCCCCCAATCTTGGTCTTCCCCTGCTATACAGCATTGCTTTCTAACACCATTCTGGAATTTCTGAGAGCTCTCATACCAGAAACCTGCCTACCCACCTGGCAAATCAGACCCTTCTAATGTATACCTTACCCCTCTAAACCACCTCATGGAAAGTAAGAGGGCAAAAGCCATAGTATTTTAGCAATTTTGCTTCGACAGTGGAACTGTTTTTTTTAGTTATGTAGGAATCTGAAGCCTGTCCATGGATCATAATTTAAGAATTCAAACTTGAGCAAATAGTTCCTTCCAACCACCCAAAACCAAACTCATTGCTGTCAAGTCAATTCTAACTCATAGCAATCCCACAGGACAAAGCACAACTGCCCTACAGGGTTTCCAAGGCCGTCATCTTCCTGGAAGCAGACTGCTACATCTTCTGTGGAGTGGCTGGTGGTTCAAACCACCAACCTTTTGGTTACCAGCCATGCTCTTAACCACTGTGCCACTCATGCCTTTTCTTCTTCCAAAGGAGTTTAGAAAGGGAGAATATACATCCAATTAAAAGTGATTAACCTTGGGGAGCTTAATTACAAAGGACTTCCACTTTCTAAGTTAACCATTGCCAGTATATTTCAATATTATTTTTAATGAATAATACTTCAATTATTTTTGTAATTAGAAAAAAAAAATCTTTCTAAAAGAGTGAAGCCCAGTAGATCAACCTGAGAGTACCAGATAAAATGCTAATGGAAACATTCATCAAAATGCTAGGTGTAGCCAGCAAGACGGCATGGCACCATCAGCGTTGCTGTGGCCACTTCTCCCAGGTACTGGCCTGGCGTGACTCCAGAGCAGGCTTTCAGCACAGTCAAAGTTCTACCTTTGGGAATCACTGAATAGCAAACCTGACTGGCTGAAAGTTGGACCACCCTTGGCACCACAGCCTTCCTATGGAGCTAGCTCATCAAACAACATAATGAAGATGTTTTAGAGTATAAAAGAAGGCATGGGTTGGAATTAACTATTGAAATACTAACACAGTATGTTCCAAACAGTGATTACAGCAATACTCCTGGATCACTGATCTTTGGATTGTAAACGAGAAAGTAAAAGCTATAGTGAATATACATCATCAGCATTTGTGTGCTGCATCATTAAATGAAAAAATAAAAATGGTCCTGTATTCTTTTTGAAAAATGCTAAGTGTAGTTAAAAAACATCTAGTAACAAAAAATATTTTTTGGACAAATGGGGAAATCTGAATATGGACTGAATAGTATATGATATTGGGAATTACTGTTGATTTTCTTTGATATGATAATAGGATTCTGGATATCCAGAAAAATGCCTTTTATTTTAGAAAATACATGCTAACACACTTAGATGTGAAGTAAAGTGGTGTATGTACAACTTACTTTGAAATGATTCAGCCAAAATAACCAATAGTAACACAGAAAAATTTTAGAGACAAATCAAATATGGGAAAATGTTAAAGGGTATATATGGTCAGTCACTGTACGAACCTTTCAACTTCTCTATTTACTGGAATTTTTTATTAAAAGAAAAAATGGCTAGTTCAGTGTCACTACAAAATAAAAATCTTATTTCCAGAGAATCTTAAAACTGGGATACATACTGGCCATCACTTGCTGAGTCTCCTCCCAATCCCTTCTCACTCCTAGCCCAACTATTCTACTATATTACCACCTATTAAAAGACCCCAGGAAAATCACAAAAGGAGGAAGCTAGGCAGAAAAAATTCAGACTTTTCCAATATCCAGTCCTCTTCCACATTTACTCCTGCATCTCTGGGATAGGTACTGACACTTCTATTTTACGTGTTAGGTACACAGTCCCTCTTCATCTCACTCTTTCTACTGACTCTGTGAAACAAGTCCTCTAATTTTCACCACCAGCCAATGCTTTCAGTTCTTGTCCTCAAAAGGGAAATCCCTGAAACATGCCAATACCCTCACTTCCCACACATGAGAGTTTCTGCATCTACTTACCAAGCTCTGCTAAGACAACTTGCTAGTTTTTGTAAAGAACAATTTTTTTTTTCCTGTTCTACTTTTGAGCAACCCCCCCTCCAGCTCCAGGTTTTCCCAATACCATCTAATCATCTGGGAGTGAGAAATCACTGCTTTCTAGAGATCAGGAGGACCACCACCCTACATAGGAGGCCCCAACGGTTCACTCTGTCAAAGCTTCAAAGTATTAACACCACTTTTTAATTCTATCTAAGTAACTGCCTACTATACCTCCTGCTTTCTGAGCCCCCAAAGTAGCATGCCTTACCTTTGGTGTCCTGCATGACAATGGAGCTATATTTTAGGAAGGTTATCAGTAGATTACTGGTCTGTACATCTGCATCCAGTGGGAGTTCCACTGAACTTATAACTGGAAAAGAACAGATGAAATGCACTTAGCCTGTAACAGATTCCATGTAACACTTCTACCCACGTAGCCCATTTGCCAACAGTCAAGAAAATCGCTAATAAGCTTTGTCCACGAGGAAGAAGGACCAAGTACCAAATATTACACAACTTTTATCTGCTCCTTTTGGCCTCTAAAACCCTTCCTGCTCCCAAGATTAAGTCCAATGACCTTCTCTCCCATCTAAGAGGGCCAGTCTCCACGAACAGTGCTTTTCTCCCAGAATCCTAGGAAGAGCATGCTGATTTCGCTTTCCAGCCCCTCGTAACCTAGAAAGGTTCAGGGCCCTTAAAAACACTTTGATTTGCACTTAAAGACCTTTATCAAATACAAACAAACCTTGCTTTGATGAGCCATCTGCTTTAAAATAAATGAAGATTCTTTCATAAGAAGGAGACAATTTGCTCCCTTTTGAGAGCAAGCCTTTAGGCTGGAAATACCCAAGATGAGAGGAAAAAGTTAAGATGGAACAAATTCTACCCTTTAATGCCTACCCCTGAAAAAGAATCTGAAAAATACCAGACTGCAAATGAGTAGATATTGTTGATTAGGACAATCTGGGAACAGAATTTTACATATTCAGCCATTGTTCCCAAGAAAAACCACTCCCCTAACACCAGCCACAGTCCCTGTGAACAATGAGGGACAAGCCCAGGCAGACCCACAACAGAACGCAGTCTTAATGTAGTTTTCCCAAAAGATTCTAAGGCTTTAAATTAGACTTAGGCATCGTGTGAAGAGATTTTACATTAAGACATAGCATATGAGCAAAAGGAGGCTCATGATGGCTCAGACAAGCAGAAAATCTATAGTGTTCTGCTGTATTTTCACCGAGGAAGACTCAGCTGAGTTTGGAATATTACTCACAATATGTATTCATAACAATAATGGATCCCTCTGGAGTTATTACAATGTATGCAGAGAATGTTTATTAACAATGGGAAATATTTGCATATTATAGATCCACAATACACAGCAAGCACAGCAAAAAGTCTTATGAGAAGAAATTAGCATGCCCAGCCCTTGGCTGTTTTCCCCCAGTTCTGCCTCCAAGAACTAATAAAAGACAAATATATTTTTATGCTGAAATACTAAAGGGTCTTAATTCATGTTATAGGTTAATGACCTGAGACTGTCATTTCAAACCATAAGCTTATTTGAAACTCAAAGCCCATAATCATTCTATTGTCCATTCGTGAGACATCTAACTGGTTAGTGTGACTTTTTTCTCTCTCACACGCAGCAGTAAGTAGAAAATGTCTTATATAATATAGAGAAATAAAGAAGTATAAGTATTTTTGGTTTACCATAAAGTCCTCTCATGCCAAGGCTGAGTTGTCAAATGTCAAGTCTGAGCTAAGAACAATGTTACAGCTAAACTGCTGGTTTTTAAAAATAATGGCTCCAGTGGCATGCCTTTAAATATAAATGGGCTACTGAGCACCACTATAATTAAAAAACAAAAATTAAAAACAAGGTCACAATATTTAGGAACTCTCTACAGAAAGGAAATAAGTTAGGAGAGAGGAAAAAAAGAACAAAATAGGACAGGATAAAATCCCTCACAAATTAAAATCTCCCTCCTAAGGAAGAGTCATGCCTTGATCTTTGACTTCCTAATCCTTCCCAGCAGCTCTTGTCAAGGGAGAGAGTCATTTGAAAGTGGACTGACTCTATCTTCCCACTAGAAAAAATAAAAGCTCACTGGTTGTAAGGTAAGTAAGCACAAATCCAGTCATTGCATAATCAAGTGTGTGGGTGGAAGTGTTCACAATGAACAGTTTGAAAGGCAGTTCCCTGAAGCATCTAAACCCCAACATCACATGGAACTCAGAAATATATATATGGCTTTTGATATCCATGGTAACCAGGCAGGCTCCATCCTTAAAGAGAAAGAACAGTCTTTCCATTGGATTATTCAGTGACCTGAATTAAGCAGAGATAAGTAGGCAATCTTCACTACTTGCTCCTTCTCATTAAGACATTTTAGAATTTGGCTTTGAATTCTAAACAGATCCAATTTGCTACCATGGACTTGAAATTCAATGGCACTTCTCTACCACACTTTTTTACCACTATCGCTTGTTCTGCCTTGAAATGCTACTGCCACAAGTGCCGTAGGAAAATTTAAAGGAGAGAAAGAAAAACAGGAGGAGGATTCACTTACAGACAGTAGGGGGACACAAAAAACAATCAAAGTTCGATTTCCTGTACTTCCTTCCCCAAAATGAAGTCAACATTTAAAGTACAACAGCAAGCACAGATTATTTTAAAGTACTCTGTCAAACACACTCAGCTTACAAAAGAAGCACCTCAGGTGACACAGTTTATTGGGGAAAATTCATAATTTCTTTCCTTTTACCTTTTTCTTAAGTTTCAGCCATAAAATGTGCAAAGGGGAAATGTTTTTTGTTGTTTTTAGGTAGGCTGGTAGGCAGTCTTAACCACCAAATTCCTAATTATAGTACAACTTAAAGCCTATCAATTCCAACTGACAGAGACCAGCAAACATGTAACATGAGTCTGAGCTTCATTTTCTCATTCATTTATTAAACAAATATATACAATGCAATTACAATGCCAGGCACTACACTGGGCATACAGCACTAAACAAAACAGATACAGTTTCTGCCCTGATTCGTGTCTTGGGTCTCAACTCTTGCTAACCTTAGGCAAACTGTTTCACTTCTCTGGCCTCAATTCTCTCATTAGTAAAGTGGCAACATGAGATAACACTGCTATTTTACATTTATTTCAGTGCTTTATGGTTACAGGGAGCTATTTTTCACAAAATATCTCATCAGAGCCCCACAAGTACCCCAAGAGTCTGGCAGCCGAGGCATTACTGACCTCCGATCTAGCACTCCATGACTCTATGACCATTCTCTGAGTAAGACAAGCTGGCGTTATGTAGCTTTCCTATAGAGAAAAGCACTTTATCTTTTCCCAAGTTTTCTTCAGAGCTTCAGAATTTCTGCAGGATAATACTTCACACAAATGTCTTAACTGAAAGAATTAACAACTGCGTTCTTTGTTCAACACAACTAGGCTCACCCTAAAAGAATTTAACTCATGTTTATTAAGAAAACAAAATGGGTGGTAGCTAACCATCAGAGGAGGGTGGTGTGGTCCCAAGCGGTGTGGCTGGGGTTGTTGGAGCAGGACTGACAGGGGTCGTCACCAAGCCCATTTCTGGATGACTCTGAAAGAGAAGACAGGAGCATAAGACAGAGGAAATCCAGCTCTCCCTGAGTATTCTCTGCTGAATATCCTCACTGGTCTTCCTGACCTCATAATTAGACAGAAAGTTCACTGAGGAGGGACTGTCTCTACATTTAGTTCCCATGAGTACCTGATTACTGTTGATGTTTGCTAAATTCTAGTAAGAAGCTCTGAGGGCTTGCTTTCTTTAAGCAACTAGGTTTCTATTACATAAACTTTTCTGCAGAACCATACAAATGAAAAACTGGGATAAATATTCAGAATTATTCTACAAGAAAGAGGGCACTAGCAGTCTTATCTGGACATGAGAAAGACTGCTCTCATCAGATCAACCGAAAACATGTATTTATAGGCTCTCCTGATGATCAAAAAATTGGCTAATAAATTCAGGTAAATATGTGGGGATACCAAGAGCTATCTAAATAAATTAATTAATTAAATAAGCTATGCAGATGGCATCCTTCCCATTCCCCAACAAACAAGAGTGTGCAGGGTGGGGGAAAGGCAGACACCCAGTATGAACCAAAACAGATGACTCTTCTGCCCCTCTTAGCAATCCTTGCCACTTCAACTGCTTAGAATTATGCTGAGTGGCAGCTGCTTCTTATCTCCTTTCTCCTGCCTCCAACATCTTCACTAGTCCTTTGCCTTCCTCACCCCTTCCTTTAAAATGAGCTACAGGATTTGGAAAGCAGTCAAAGAATTTGGTGAAAACAGTGAATCAAGTCTTTTATTAGTCATGACAACAAGTATGTGTCTTCCTAAGTATACCCCAAACCAGGACACTTTTCAAGTATGACCTTATTTTTTAAGGTAAAACTCAATTAATGGACTCCATGCATATCTGCCCTTTGAGAAAAAAAGCATAAGCAAACGTTCTTTTAAAAGAACTTTCCATATATATTTTAAACAGTCTGGTTTTAAGATAAAATCACGTTATCTTTCATGCAGTTCTCAACCTATTTTAGTCCCCTTGTGCCCCAACTACTGAGGATATCCCTTAGGCATGTGACCTAGGACTCAGTATTCTAAGACTTACTGCTTTCAATGTTCGCAGACCATTTTATCTGCTAACAACTAACCTTATGCTGGGCAGGATTTTTTTTTTTTTTTTATTTTTCTTCTCTGGAAATCGGTGAGATAATAGATAAGTGACTTGGTCTGTTTTATCTCCAGCTGTAATTCCACAGTGGTTTAGAAAGCAGGAAGCCTGATACAATGCTTATAGGCAGATTAAGTCGAGGATCTCCAGTGAGCAAAATGAAGTAATCTCAACTTGTGTAGGTTAACAGAATTAGTAAACTGGTCAAAACCATAACTTTGCATGTTATCAGAACCATTTCAGTACCAGACAGAAATGTATATATTTGAGGATAGCATGAAGCAAAGGCAAGTGACACAACTCTTTGTTACCACCACTCACCAACGCAAAACAGGGCTGAAATAGGCAGAGCCAGGTAGGCTTTTCTGTGGAAGGAATCTGTATGAAATTCAGGGAGAAAAACTATTAGGGTTTTTAATGTAACTAACCTGGGCTAACACTGTGATGAAATTACGATTTAAATGAACAGCTTCATAAAGTGCCAGAAGAATAGCCTCATTGGTTCTAAAGAAGAAGAGAACAAATTGGTGAGCCTCTTGTAGTGGAGGAATTAAAACATCAAAATAAGATTTCACCCTACCTCCTCATTACCAGTCCTTCTGACTTGAGCACACGTAAAAGGTATACTGGGGGGGGGGGACCCACAGCCATCGAGTTGATTCTGATTCATAGCAACCCCCATTGAGTTTACAAGGCTGTAAATCTTTACAGAAGTGCATCTTCCTCCCAGGAACAGCTAGTGGGTTTGAAACACTGACATTCGGGTTAGCAGCCAAATGTCTTTCCCATTACGCCACCAGAGCTCCTTAAAAAAGGTGTACAGCTGAGGAGAATTAGGTTCAGTTCCTTAGGATCAGTTTTATCTACTTCATTCACTATCTTCCCTCTCACTTTTCTACCCAAGTCAAGTCTTTAACTGGCTCAGATACGCAGCCCTCTTCCATTTCACTCCAGAGATAGCTGGGAATAGTTTTTCAGCTTCTTGGAGCCCAATACACATGAGACCAAAGAAGAAATTTCTAGGATCCATTATTGTTTAAAACGCAAGAAACATTTGATAAATCACGAAAAAAAGTTTGAATCTGCTAAGGATTAGCAAGAGATACTTTTCATACTCTCAAATCCCTCCGGAGAGCCCACACTAACATCCAAGTCACTGCACAAGAAGGTTGGGCACTTACTGTACAGATATTTTCTCATGGGCGTCTGCTATGAACATGCTGCCCACCTGTGGAAGAAAAGAGGAATTGCAGCCTTATAGCAGGAAGCGATGAGGGGTAGCTCTGTGCCTATCAAGGCTTTATCAGTCAAAAAATAAGCTGCTTCCAGCCAGAAGGGACCTGGAACTTTAGATTACTAGTTACACACAAAACCAGCCTACATCTAAGATCTTGAAAGAATCTTAAGTGAAGGAAATAATGAAACACCTACCAAATCATCTTAAAGAGGCTTTTAAAATTCCCAGCCTTCACTTTCAATGTGTAAGTTTAGCCACCACTGACACTGAGTAAATAAATGTTAGCCTACACATTCTCATTATTATGTATCTTTCCTGAAGTTGCTTATTTGAAATCAGACTAACTCAAGGAACATCACAGAAAACAGGCTGACTTTATCCTACATAGAGCTGTCTTCTGGGGAACATTTGGATTTCAGACCAGACCTATCTATGCTTAACTCATTTACCATCTTTATCTGATCAGTTTGTGTCCTACTCAAAGCAGCTGAATAGGTCAATGGAACACTCTGTCTCTGGTATTTGTGATGTCAGAGGCACTGAGAAAGATGCCTATCCCCCTAAAAATACCTAGTCCACCTGCTTATTGATCTCCAAAACTCTGTAGATGGAGCTTCATTTGTTTGCTACAAAGGTTTTTTTCCTTGGCTAAAAGGCAAAGATCTCTTGTAGCAATATAACTATCTCTTAATTCATTTTCTCTAACACCAGTACAGCACTCATACTGCTCCAGCCTCAAGATCTTACTCATTTATGCTTCAAAATTAAAGAGTTACTGATGGCAAGGTTCGATGAGACAGAAAATAACAAATGGTGGAGAAGATATGGAGAGATTGGGACTCTCATACACTGTCAGTGGGACTGTGAAGTGATACAACCACTGTGGACAGCAGTATGGTAATTCCTTGTTGTTGTTGTTGTTATGTGCCATCAAGTCAGCCCCAACTCATAGTGACCCCTCCTTGGGTTTCTGAGAAAGCTGGAATAGGAAATAACCATTTGACCCAGCAATCCCATTTCTAGGTATATATCCTAGAGAGGTGAGATCCAGGACAGGAACAGATATATGCAGACCCATGTTAAGTGCAGCACTCTTTATAATAGCAAAAAGATGAAACAACCTATATGCCCATCAGATGAAGAGTGGATGACTAAACTATGGTACATACACACAATGGAATGTTATGCAGCACTAAAGAATAATGTTGAGGCTGCAGAACACCACATAACACGGATGAACTTGGAAGACATTATGCTGAATGAAATAAGTCAATCACAGAAGGACAAATATAGTATTAGTTCATTGTTGTGGAGGGTCAAGGAAAGGTTTATATATGGATGGAAACTTTCTTTGCTGGTTGCCAGGGGTGGAAGGAGAGGGGAGGGAAAAAAATGCATTGACTCATGTCGCTTTAGCTTTGTGTATTTCACTGTATATGAATTATATTACAATAAAATGCATTTTTTAAAAAAGAAAAAAAAAGTTTATCAGGTCATTTCCTGAGAGCAGACTGTGAGAAGGGAGAAGAGGAGAACACAGAGGCAAGTGGTAGAAAAAAATCTGCCTTTTTTGCGGGGGAGGGGGTACCTCTTTTTTGCAATAAACTAAAAAATTGTCTTGCCCTAGGGCTGATTACTTGGATACTAATGCCTATGAAGATAGATTTTCTGAATATGCCAGCACTTGAAGACGTTTATAAGGACATACTCCTAGATTTATTTCTTAAAAATTAGCCCATCTTAAAAGCTTGCAAGTGGCCATCTAGATGCAATGATGTCTCTCCTTATCCAGAGCAAAGAAGGATAAAGAAAACCAAAGACACATGGTAACAATTAGTCCAAGCAACTGGTACACCATGCGATCCTCAGCCTATACGACTATGAGAACAGAAGAACTAGATGGTACCCAACTACCTCTGTCAACCACTAGGAGGGGGACCTATGCAGGAGATCCTGGATAGAGTGGGAGAACAATGTAGAACAAAACTCAAAATCATTCATTAAAAAAAAAAGGGGGGACAAGTTTTGCTGGTCTGATAGAGCCTGATGGAACCACTGAGACTATGGCCCCTAGCTGCCCTTCAAGTCTGGAATTGAACCCACACCTGTGGCTTCCAGCCAAACAAAAGACAGGCATATGAGATAAACATTTACACTAGGTAGATACACTCTTTGGAGAGATCAATCATGGGAGAAATGGAAGGGCTGTGTATGCACAGGGAGACAGCTCAGGGGACAGGAGTGCATGGGAGAAAAGGACACAGAAAGTGGGAGGGGAGCTGTCGCATTGTGGGAAATTGCAGTCGATGTCATGAGACAAAGTGTATGTGATCTGCTGTACGGAAAGTGAATTTTCTCTGTAAACTTTCACCCAAATCACAATAAAATTCAAAAAAAAAGAAAGAAATTAGCCCCAGATTATCTGGCCCAAAATACCAATAATGCCAAGGCTGATAAACCAATCTGGAGTCTTGCAAACAGAACCAGAAATTTTCCTAAACTTTGGTCCTTCTGACAATCCCTCAACCCCAGAACCATCTACAAGGAACTGAGTGGCCACAGCAGACAGCAGAGGAACGCTCAAGAGGACCTGGCACTAACCCACCCTATTCTGTGTTCCATAGCGTCGGTCCCCAAATAGGGTCAACTCTTTTTTAGGAAGCAGAAGTCTGGTTTAACATGTATCTTCTCTTCAACATTTAAAAATAAGTAATTTTTTAAAATCAGTCCCAGAGAAATGGAAGTTCTCCTTTTCCTTATGTCACTTAGTTTTGGAAGTCACTAACAAAGATCTAGCTCTCATTACAATCTGCTCTGAGCAGCCTCTCTCTCCTGCTCATGCCGTCCCCTCAAACATCTGAACTTCTGAGCAGAGCACTGCCTTTGCAGTCCTCATGTATTTCTGAGCAGAAGAAAAAAACAAGTAAGACTTACTATGTTTGTTAAAGCAGAGAAAAAACCGCTCTGGTGTTCTTCTTCCTTGTCTTTATACTGCCTGAACAAAAACAAGTAAATTCAGCTTTAATATTATATATCAAGTATATCTTTGCTGTTGGCATTCTAGGTAATCAGGGCAGGGCAATCTTAGAATTCACTGACTCCAGAAAACAAAAGCAATATAACAACCTAGTTTCCCCTGCAAACTAAGAGGCCTCCATCTGCTCTTGAGGTAGAGTGTGTACCAAAATGCCTGGCTACTTTGGGAGAGACTTAGAAAGCAAGCTGCAAAAGTGTGAAACCGCTCTAACATATGGTTGATCCAGTTATTTCCCAAACAGACTATTACTTGAAAAGTGTGACAGTAAAATTTCTCCAAGGTTGTTAACAGTGAAAATCTTTTTTGTTTTTGAAGGAAGAGGAGGGAATCTGGGAGCTAAACTATTTGCAGAGATGGAACAGATTTGAAATTTCAACACCCAATTGTGTATGAGGGAAGTCTGGAGAGGACCAAGAGTGATCTTGCCTGGCCCTGCCAGGATTAGGGACATTTCTGGTCTCCATTCAGATCCTTCCCCCCCTCCACAGCAAGAGGAAAGGCAAGTATCAATAGAGTTCCCCAAATAGATAAGGATTCTGGGAATTAAAGTTGATTCCTGATGAAAAAAAAGCATCTGTCAAACTTGTATACATTTCTCTTGTGGGTTTTTTTTTTTTAAAGAGTAAAAAAAAACTTCACAACTTTTTTTCACATAGAAAATCACGTTTGTAAGAAACATTGGGTTAACTGGAACAGCCTGTTTATGGCAGGAAAACCAGTTAAAACGGTCTATGGTACAGGTTGCAAAAGGGGATGTCTGATTGCCTAAATGATGGACACTAACATAGTGGCTGTTTTTCCCCTGGTGTTAGAAACAACCCCTGCTAAAGCCATCAAGCCAACTATAAAAAATAAGAACAAAAACACAGTTGCCAGCAGCTGCACCTCTGAACACTCTTCTAGGATATGTATGAAAAGTTGACCCAAGAACTCTAACAAACCTGTTTCCTAGTCAACCAATTCAAATGAAACTTTGACCCTTCCCTCCTGGAAAGATGACTTACCTGTTGTACTCAGATAAAGCCTGAGCAATCACAAGTCCCATTCCCTAAAAAAGGAAAAGATGGCACAGGTGAAATAAGTGAGTAGCCTTGGAGAAGAGAGGGTGCTGTGACTAGGCCAAGAAAAACACTAACTATACCTCCATGGTCCAAGCTCAAAAATTTTGCCTGAAAGCTGATAAGAACAGAAGTTCTGAGAAATGGGAAATGTCAAAGAATAAAAGGAATTTCTTTGCAAAGACTTTTCTGATATAATTATCTTAATTAATGTTCCCAGACAAAGTTAAAACAGAATAAGAAGGGGTGAAACAGACCAGTCCAGATTATTGACAGCTTCAGTGGGATGATTTGCACCTCAAATGAAAAGTTAGAATCTTCAAACAGAAAGCCCTCCTATCTCTCCAAAGCAGTCATAATAAAAGTGGCAATGAATCCTATGTAAATTAAAGTCTACAGACAAGCTCTCTCTTTCAAACCACAGTAAAACAGGAGTATAAAGAGAAGCAGTTCCAATAAATGTTATACTGGCTTATCAACCTTCCCCCTGCAATCTTCTAAGTGTAGCACAAAGGTCAATTAAGGCCACAAGGATAAATTGTGTGTGCATATTTCACACAAGGAAAACTAAAAGAAATAAAGATAGCAGGATGAAAAGGGAATAAATCCAGACAGCTGGTTATCTTCTTTACTTGATATTTGCTCCCTATATTCAGAGATCAGATGCTATTTCCCAAATTTTCAAGGCTCCATCTCTCAGATATGTATCACCCTCCATGTTTCAGCTTCATGAAGTCAGGCTATAAATACCATCTGGCTAGTTCTACAAAAAGAATCTCCCATCATTTAGTCATCTGAGCTTTCTTACTCCTGGAAATGTAATTTATTGACTCTCTAACATACTCAACGTCACCACACTATCATATGAAATATATAGCAACCATTTTATCATGGTCAACAAGCAAATGTTCCCTTAAGTCTCCCCTCCATGACAAGAAGACAACAAGACAGTAGCACTAATGCTCTAAAAAGAAATTCCAATTCCATATTTACAGCCAGATCAAATTAGCATAATAGCTCTCTGCTCTCTGTTCTAGATGTCCACTGAATGCAGGGCCAGGAGGTAAGACAATATACAGGGAACCAGATACTCACATTGAGCGTGGCCTCATCATCCACAATAGACAGCTTCACAATGTAAGGATTCACAGACTGTTAAATAAGAGAAGGGACTCAAGGTGAGTGTGACCTAGTTAAGATATGTCATTAGCTACTTAATAGTGTTAACAAAAATGTTTCTATAAGGCCCTCTACAATGACACTCCTCACACACAGGTCCAACTCACCTTGCCGAATGATTCCCCTCATTTTCAGTGACTCCCTCAGGGTGCATGGACATTCCCCAAGTACTCACATGTGTGTATGTGCAGCACAGACACACACACACACCCCAGTTCTTTCCTGCCTACACCTTCCTGTGGGCTGACTCAGTCTCTTCTTCCTTCTTTCCCTCTTACTTGTTTTGAAGAAGTGAACACTCTGCAAAACTCACTTTGTCCCACCCTTCCAGTAATGTGCCTAGTCCATAGAGATAGCCTAGTCTTTTGAGGGACATAAAAGCTTCTTTACCACAAAGCACGTATTTCTAAGTTTCTAACTCACATTCTCATCCCAAAAGCTCCCTAACCATTTCACAAACTATAGGCAAGAACTGATTCACCCACCCGTAAAACAACGCTACCTTGGGGGTGGAAAGTGGCAGCTGCTTAACAGCCAGAGAGGCCATTTATGGATCTGATACCCAAATAACACTGCAGGGGGAACTGAAAAAAAGGATGTAATTACCCAAACTACAATCTGGTCAGGACACTGGGATTTAATGACTGTCCCATCACTTACAGCATTGGAAGACTTCTTGAGTTCTTCCAGATCCAATCCCAGCTGAGTAGCATATGGAAATGGACATGTATTTAAACTCATTGAGCAGTTGGGCCATCTCCTACAAGTGAGATGAGAACCAATGATCTGCTCACCTTAAAAACATCCTACCCAGGGGATGGGAACAAAGACCTCATAGAGATTAGGTACCAATTTTAACCCAAGAGAAGCAAGGAACAATAGTTCTCAGACTGGCAGTTTTTACAGCTACCAAGAAAACTCATTACTGAGATACTTGGAAGCCCAACTGAAAAGCTAACCCCCCACACAGATGTTATTTAATCCAGCTTCTCAGGGTATCTTTTACATGTCATTTGGGAATAAAGCAAGAACACTGTGCTTTCTTACCATTCCAAATGTCTACAAGTTTTCTAAGAAACAACTCAGGAAGGGAAACTCACTCTATTTGTCACCTAGCGTGACAGAGGGAAGGCTCCCAACACCTCTCCCTATCACTAACGGCCAAATCATCCTGAAGCTACAGACTTCAGACAAGACCCAATGGCAGCAGATCCCTGGAAAAGAACATCAGCAGCCGGCTGACCTAGAGATGCCACCGCGATGATTACAACCAGAAGGAGCAGGAGCAGGACACTGTTTCTTGGCCTAATTTTTAATTTTTGGGTGAAGGGGCTACATAATTCTTGAAAGTCCTACTCAAGAAAAAAAGAGCAGGCTTACTGGTCTGATAGAGAACTGGTGAAACCCCCAAGACTGGCCCTCAGTCACCCTGTGGACCTGGAATTGAACTCACTCCTGTGGCTTCCAGACAAACAATAGACAGGCCTGCAAGGTCAACAATTATACCAGGTAGTATACTCCCTCAGAGGATCAATCATGGGAGATCAGAAGAGCAGCATTTGCACAGGGAGATAGCTCAGAGGGTAGGAATGCATGGGAAAGAAAAACAAACAAATAAAAAAAAACCCATTGCCATCAAGTCAATTCTTCAACTCATAGAGACCCCCACTGAGTTTCCAAGGTGGTAAATCTTTACAGAAGTAGATTGCCTCATCTTCCTTCCACAGAGTGGCTCATGGGTTCGAACAGCCAACCTTCTGGTTAGCAGTCAAATGCCTTAGGCACTACACCACCAGTGCTCCTTATAGGAAAGAAAGACAGAGGGAAAAGGTAACCACAGGGAGGAAGTGGGAAGACAGTTGTTACATTGTGGGGATTGCAATCAATGTCATGAAACAAAATGAGTATGAACTATTGAATGGAAAATGAATTTGCTCTATAAACTTTCACCTAAGTCACAACTTAAAAAAAAAAAAAAAGATTGCTTGAGTTGATAAGGATCACCTGACTTCTAAGACCAGCAGTAGTTGTGGAAGAGGCAAGGTGACTTACTAAAAGTAAGGGTTTCAGTTCCAGCTACTCTACCTACTAATTGTGATCACTTAAAAAAAGAAAAGAAAAACTCACTGCCATTGAGTTGGATCTGACTCATGCCAACCCCTCCTTGGATTTCTGAAGCAGTATCACTACAGAAGTAGATTACCCAATCTTCCTTCCAAGGAGTGGCTGGTGGTTTTGAACTGCCAGCCTCCTGGTTAGCAGTCAAATGCCTTACGCACTATGCCACCAGAGCTCCTGTGACAACTTTAGGCATATCAATTAACCTAAATTTCTATTTCTTAATCTGTGAAATGGGGATAGTATTTCTCCCTTAATATTGCTAAGGAGCTCTGGTGACACAGTGCTTAAGGCAGAAGGTTGGTGGTTCAAACCAATCAGCTGCTCCACAGTAGGAAGATGGGGCAATCTACTTCCATGAAGATTTGTTGTTGTTGTTGTTATGTGCCGTCGAGTCGATCCCGACTCATAGCGACCCCTCCTTGGGTTTCCGAGGCAGTATCACTACGGAAGTAGGATTGCCCAACCTTCCTTCCGAGGAGTGGCTGGTGGGTTTGAACCGCCAGCCTTCTGGTTAGCAGTCAAGTGCTTTAGCCACTATGCTACCAGAGCTCCGTGAAGATTTACCACTTTGTAAATCTAATGGGGAATTGACTGAGTCGGAATTGACTCAATGGCAGTGGGTTGGGATTGCTACAAGACTTAAAATGAAACAATACAAGTAAAATTCTTAGCATAGTATTTGGCATATGGTCAGGGGCTCAATAATGGGCAGCTATACTTTTTCTCCTTTGACATTATCATCATATTCAGAGGGAACGTCTTTGAGTAAAAATAAGAGGAACAATTTGCAACTGGACATGATAATTTTGCTATGCTCTGGGCAGTAGCAATTGGGAACTGAATGACTTCATCTCAAAAGTCTTGGCTAGCCTAGAGAGCCAAGATCTTAATCAAGGCTTTAAACTGGTTTGTTCCAGTTCAACCTCCAGCTAATAATTTGCATTTCCACCCCAGATACACTGAATGAGAACCCACATTTTAAGAAGATCCCCGGGTGATTCTTTTGCACACATAAGAATCAATATCCTCAGGGGATGTACGTGTAAGAATCTTATGTGTATATATAAAAACCACCTGGAGCGCTTTTTAAAAATGTAGATTCTGATTCAGTACATCTGAGTGGGAAATGTAAATTCTCAGCAGTGGGTCAAACCAGAATGAACCAGTTAGAAGCTCTCATCTTGTTGTTGTCTATTCTACCATATAATGAACTCAGTGAGCCTTCGCAGAATCACTCTAATTAATAGGATCCTGCCTTTCTTTGAAAGAAGTGGGTGGTGCAGTGGTTAAACTCTTGACTGCTAACCAAATAGTTAGCAGTTCGAACCCATCAGCCACTTCATGGAAGAAAGACGTAGCAACATGCTCCTGTGAAAATTACAGGCTTGGAAACCCAATGAAGCAGTTCTACTCTGTCCTATAGCGTCACTATGAGTCAGAATTGACTCAAGGGCAACAGGTTTGGTTTTTTTTCTTGGTTTTATCTTTATCTGATCTGAAACTACACGTATCATTTTCATTACTCTTCCTTAAACTTTTTCTTTTTTTTTTTCACCTCCTCTATCTCTTTAGGAGCTCTGGTAGCGTAGTACCTAAGGCACTTGACTGCTAACCAGAAGGCTGGCGGTTCAAACCACCAGCCACTCCTCGGAAGGAAGATGGGGCAATCTACTTCTGTAGTGATACTGCCTTGGAAATCCAAGGTGGGGTCGCTATATGAGTCGGATCCAACTCAACGGCACATAACAACAACTATCTCTTTAGCTGAAATGAAATTACTAAAAAGGAATGTATTATTTCAAATTAGTACATGGCATCCTTTCCGTTACTTCTAACACCTAATTTGCCTTCTCAGAGTTTAGCTAGGTACCTAGACTCTGTGGAACCCTCTGAACCTTTTTGGAAAGGTTACAACTTTCCCATTGGTCAGGATTGAGAATGGTGTTAGCTAGGATACTGTTCTCCCCAGCACACACACCCTCAATACTAGTTTACAGAAAATTTCATCAGCTTTGGGTTTTGCTATGTTCATGTGGAATTCCTCATGCTCCTGTCAAAAACCTTCCTGCTCCATGGTCACCAGCCTTTCTTAATGGTTTCTGGTGAATGACTTATATCAAAAGCTGCAAAGCCTAGATAAATTATGCCCAGCAGCTTGCCCTTGCCCACTATATTAATTCTTCCGGGGGCTTCTGACAGAGTACAGATGCATACCTCACTCCAGAAATATGATTTCTCTAGTTCCTTGGCCATGTCCAATTTTTCAGGCTGACATTTCAAAGAGCTCTACTGGGCTAAGCCAGGGTTCAGTTCACATTCAAAGAAGTCAAGCCATTGCCTCAAAGTGGCCTATATCCAGTAGAATATTCTGAAAATATCCATTACTGATGATGGTGCATTCCTGTCATATATAACTCAGCTCTCTTTAACTATCCTCAGCATTTTTCTTTAGCTATTTTCCTTGCTGCTGTAATAAGGCCCCAGAGGCTATTACACATGACAGAGATCAAAATGGCTACCATGCCAGCCCCTCCATATCACCAGGAAAACAGGTGTTGCTGATAAATTACATATTTATTAGTAGCTGTACACACCATTCATCAGTTCCTCTAAGACAGTGGAAGCAGGCAGCACCCGGGATTTCATAACAAATTAACATTGCTCCACATGTGCTAGGAGCTCTGGTAGCATAGTGGCTAAGGCACTTGACTGCTAACCAGAAGGCTGGCGGTTCAAACCCACCAGCCACTCCTCGGAAGGAAGATGGGGCAATCTACTTCCATAGTGATACTGCCTTGGAAACCCAAGGAGGGAACACTATGAGTCAGGTCCAACTTGATGGCACATAACAACCACCACCACCACATGTGCTGGTCCCTCTTAAATAGTACTTTCTCACAGCATCTCCTTGTTCCACATCCCTTCTAACAACAGAATAAGCTCCAGATTTCACACTTCCCATCACCTTTAACCTCACTAAGTAAAGCCTGACTAGGAATCATATCAAAAGTCACTAAGTGAAGGTCCAAAGGTCACAAAGGAAAATTCTCTCTGCAGCTGGTCCGTTTCTCATAACAATGCTATTTAGATGAAGAAGTCAGGTTGCCTCTATGCAGCTCCTCACTTCTGGGTTCAGTGAAGTATTCCTGGTATCCAGGCTCAATACCAAATGCTCCCCATTTCTCCAAAGCAACGAGGTCCCAATGAGATCTCTGGTCTTCCCTGAGTGCCCCCCCTTTCTTTTCCGTGTATTCTGCCTTTTGAGGGGAATCAAATAGATTCACAAACTCAAATATAAATCTATGGGTTGTGCTCTTTACCTCAGAAACCTGTAAATCTGTACCCTGATTAATTCAGGGGCAACAAGAACTCCAGAACTGATAAGGATAAGACCCTATCTTCAGTTTTCCATTAAAATCAGCAAGGGTTCCCAGACCAACAGTCATATTATGCAAGTGAACAGCATTAAGGAAATATGATATATTAAATTCAATCTTTCAAAACAAATGCACTAGGTCAGTGGTTCCCAATCCTGTCTCCTGATTAATCATCATACCCAAGAGAGGACCTTTTTTAAAAAAAAAAAAAAAAAATGGAGTGAGTGGGAGGGGAGCTGTTGACTTGTGGGAAATTTCAGTCAACGTCATGAGACAAAGTATAGTGAACTGCTTATGGAAAGTGAATTTGCTCTGTAAACTTTCACCCAAATCACAATTAAAAAAATAAAAATTAAAAAAAGATTAAATAAGATTCTAAGGTCCCACCCTGCAAGAGATTCTGATTCAGTGTATCCAGAATATAGCCCAACAATCTCTATCAAATGCATTTAATATGTTTTTTTAGGATTTGTTTTATCAAAATAAATCCATATGCCATTTGCCAAGAACACATCTCCTACATTAGCAAAGTCCACTAGGAGTAGCCATTTTAGAAGATTATAGAAAGATAGCAATGTCCACTAAGGAGTCCACTCACCTCATATTTTCTATAGTTCACCAGCAAAGCCAAGAGGACAACAGCATCATATCCATGCTCCCTACGACTTGGGGGGTGGGAGAGTATCTGTAACAAAAAACAGAAATGTAATATATAGAACTAACCCCCAGCTCCTAGAAATGCAGATATGAAATATTTGCGAAGATGGTTTACCCAAAAGAGAAAGCTACAACAAGGGAATTGACTTACCTGTAAAATTGCTTCAAATATGCTGTTGATCATTACATATTCCAGGATAGTGTTCTGACTGATGTTATCTGTCACCTGAATGCAGTAAAAGGTTTTTTACCGTTTTTACTGAGATACTCTGATATTTCATGTATAAAGAAAAACTTACTAGGCTTTTTAGATATTTACTAGGCTTTTTACAAGCACATCAAAGCCACCAGAACCTGAGTACACAGATACTAAAAGGGTAGGAAGATACCCAATAGAAACTTGCAACATCTTTAAACTTCTCATTGTTTCTCTCATACTCCACACAATCATTTGCTTAACAATTTCTTAGGTTTCATTCTTCAAAAGCACAAGAAGAGGTTTATGAATCCAGAGGTCTTCAAATGGTGGCAGGGAAAGGGAATCTTCTGAAGTAAATGAACAATCACCTCCCCTCCTCCCAGAAATCGCAAGCCAGCTTTTAACCATACAATCAAAGTCAGGGCAAACAGAAATGCTCAGAATCACAAGTACCATTTCCAAATGAGTACTGATAAGAACAATCTAGAAGAGCACAGCTCTCCAGGGCTTCCAATGAAGTAATAAATATCACCTTCCTGAAGGCAAAAAGTTGGCGCAAAGAGCAACTTCCAGGAAAAGAGACATACAAGAGTGATGTAATGCCCCAATAGAGAACTTTTTTTTTCCCCTTCTAATTTTGGGCTTGAGTATCCAAAAAAGTTTGTCCCTTATTGGGCAAGTGGGCAATTAATACCTGACAAAGAAACATGGAAGGGTCACTTACAGTCACTAAACAAAGGAGAAGTTTCAGACATAAACTCTTCAGACTTTCAGAACCTTCTGCACAAAGCAATGAATCCAAACTCTCCATCAAGTTCTGAGAAAGAGAATCATTAAGTATTAAACCATATCAAATAACATCTACACCCTGTCTTTGTCCCATTCTGGGTTACAGGACACAGAGTAATGTGACTAACACACAATGAACCAACTAAACATTCCCCTTCCCCAAGTCTTGCAAAGTTAGACAAAATAAAGGAGTATTTCAGTCTTAGCTAATTTGTAGTAAATGCTTTATATAATACTTGCACAGAATAATAAAGAATTCATTATTCTATCAAATGAATGTAGCCTATCATCCCCATAACCAAAAAAAAAAAAACCACTGCTGTCAAGTTACTTCTAACTCATAGCAACCCTGTAGGACACAGTAGAACTGCCCATAGGGTTCTCAAGTCTATCAATCTTTATATAAGCAGACTGCCACATCTTCATCCTGCAAAGCAGCTGATGGGTTCAAACCACCAACCCTTTGGTTAGCAGCCAAGTGCTTAACCACTGTGCCACCAGGGCTCCTAGCATCTCCATATAAACCTTAAATTAGAATGAAGTATAAAAAGGAAATAATCTTTACTGAGTCCACTATTGCATACTTTCCTTTTATTTACTTATTCTTTGTACTCTTCCAAAAAGATTTGAGGATTAAAACAAAAAATACATATGTAATAAAACAACTGAAAAAATCAAACCAAACTTACTGCCACTGAGTCGAATACGACTCACAGTGACCCCTCCTTGGGTTTCTGAGGCTGTATCTCTATGGAAGTAGATTGCCCAACCTTCCTTCCAAAGAGTGGCTGGTGGGTTTGAACCACCAGCCTTCTGGTTAGCAGTCAAATGCCTTAGGCATTACGTCACCAGAGTTCCAATTAGGTAGAAATAATAAAACTTAGGCAAAAACCCACTTCTATCAAGTTGCTCTGGTAGTAGTGATACTGTCTCAGAAATCCAAGGAGGCGTCATTATGAGTTAGATTGGACTCGATGGCAATGAGCTTTGTTTTTAATCACGTTGATTCTGATGCATAGCAACCCGATAGGACAAAGTACAACTGCCCCACAGGGTTACCAAGGCTGTAAATCTTTACAGAAACAGATTGTCACATCTTTCTCCTACAGAGCAGCCGGTGGGTTCAAACTGATGATATTCTGGTTAGCAGCTTAGCAGTTTAACCACTACACCATTAGGGCTCCTAATACAATTAGTGATTGTAGATAAGCATTAATTAACTTTTGCTCTAAGGTTAAAAAAGGGAAGCTTGATGGTTAGTAATTGTATGTAAGTTTCATTATTTGATAAGGAATGGGTATCACTTATACAGGCACAGTGAACAAACAACTAAGAGGCACCATCCTATTGGCTATCACTGGCCATATGCACCAACAAAGCTAGCTTACTGTTCATCTAGTCAGTTCCACTTGATAACATGATTAGAGTTTATCGGTTGCACTAACAATCAACTGAGAGACACAAACAAATGAAAAGATGTAACCTTCAGACACTACAATAGAGGGAAGAAGAAATCTTCTATACTACATGAAGAAAGAGAATGGATGGAAAACAAGAATTTAGCATGCTGGAGTTCAAGCTGGAGGTTCAAAACAGGCTACTTCAGTTTAATCCAGCAAATACGTTGTAAGAGTCTGCTATATGCTAACTACTGTACTTTCAAAGAACATAAGAAAAACTAAAGCCTCAAACCTTGCTCACAAAGTGCTTTTAGTTTAATGGGAAAGGAAAATAAAGCAGCTTCAGGAGCTCTGGTAGCATAGTGCCTAAGGCACTTGACTGCTAACCAGAAGGCTGGCGGTTCAAACCCACCAGCCACTCCTCAGAAGGAAGGTTGGGCAATCCTACTTCCGTAGTGATACTGCCTCAGAAACCCAAGGAGGGGTCGCTATGAGTCGGGGCCGACTCGACGGCATATAACAACAACAACAACAACATGACAGAAATACACATGGAGAAACAAAACTAGCTCAGAAGTCACCTATTCCAGGATCCCGCAAATCAATCAGTAGGAATTAATCAAAATTTGAGGAGGAAAGTAACGATATATAGGCGAAAGCATGATCAAAAACACACAAGGGACGAAACAGCCCTGGAAGGAGGGCTATCGTGCAAGCAGTTTGTTATTATAAGAGTACAGAGTGGGGCACAGTGGTGAGCAATGAGATGGGAGAGTAAAACAGGGAGCAGATCACTAAAGTTCAAAAGGCTAACTAAGGAGTTCAGTCTTCATCCACTTAGTGAACAGGAACTAATGAAGGATCTTAAGCAGGAGAGATCTGAGTGTAAGACATGTCACTCTAGTGACAGTATGGACAACAGATTAAAGATAGCAAGTCCAGGGAAAGAGACCAATGAGGACGAAACTATCAATTTTCTGAGGACAGCTATCATGTCTTACTTAGCTCTGCAACCCCACTGCCTACCACAGTGCCTGACACATAGAAGCCTAACAAGTGTTTGTCAAAAGAATGAAGAAAGCTCACTGCAGTGGCCCAAGGTCCAAGAATTAGACAATGGACACAATGGCAGTAGGGGAAAAAAAGACAGACAAGACAGGCATAAGAACTATGAGCTGAAGTGAAATTAGCCAAACTTGGTAATCGTTTTGTAAGAAAGATGAGAGAGAAAAGAGTTAAGGTCACCTCCTCAGGTTTCTGGCTTAGGAGATTAAGGACAGGTGCCCCTATTCTGACAGAGAATGAATGAAAAAGAACAGATGGAGGGGAAGTAATGAGCTCCATGTTAGAGATGTCAAGTAAGAGGTACTTAGGAAACCTGTGCATGACTGTATTCAGCAAGTACTTCAGAATACAACTCTGAGGCTCAAGGGGGAATGTTAAAGCTAAAGATCAAGATTTAGTAGTCATCAGCATATAGGCAGTAGTTAGAACTACTAACACATATACGGGCTGTAAAGGTAACTCCCAGTACTACATTTATGGAAAGAGATGACTGAGAAGCTCAAAATCATCAGTTGAGGCAAAGTGAGGGGCTGACTATGGAATACACCATCAACTGCACGTGTGCAAGTTCAAGTTGAAGATGAAGAAAATCAAAGTAAGTCCACGAGAACCACAGTATGACCTTGAACACATCCTGCCTGAATTAACCAGTTGCTACTGAGGGAAGAAGACCAAGATGCACTAAAGTTACTGGTGAAATAAGAGGCTCCAGGAAATGACAGAATACCAACTGAGATGCTTCAAATAACAGATGCAAAATGGAAGTGCTTCCTCATTTATGTCAAGAAATTTAGAAGACAGCTACCTGGCCAAAGACTGGAAGAAATCTATATTCATGCCCATTCTGAAGAAAGATAATTAAACATAAGGCAGAAATTAAAGAACAATATCATTATTATAGAACAATATCATTAATGTTAGATGCTAGCAAAATCTTGCTAAACATAATTCAAAAATTACTATTGCCGTACATCAACAGGGAACTGCCCAGTTCAACACAGATTCAGAAGAGGACATGGAATAAGGAATATCACTGTTAATGTCAGACAGATCTTAGCTGAAAGCAGAGAAGACCAGAAAGATGTTTATATCAACTGTGTGGATCACAGCAAATTATAGGTAACATTACAAAGAAAGGGAATTCCAGAACACTTAATTATGCTCATGTGGCACCTGTACATGGATAAAGAGGCAGGTGTACGAACAGAACAAGAGGGTATTGCCTGGTTTTAAATTGGAAAGGTGTACAACAGGGTTGTTTCCTTTCACCTTACTTATTCAATCTGTACGCTGAACAAATAATCCAGGAAGCTTTACTATATGCATAAGAATGCATTAATAACTATGATATACATTAATATCCATGATATGCAAAAGACACAACCTAAAATGAAGAAAGCTTGAAGCACATACTGATGTAGGTCAAAGACTATAGTCTTCAGTATGAATTATGCCTGAATGTGAAGGAAATGAAAATCCTCGCAATTGGACTGATAAACAATATGGTAAAGGAAGAAAAAAATGAAGTTGTTGATGATTTCAGTCTATTTCAATCACCAACAAATGTACATGGAAACAGCAGTCAAAAAATCAAACAATGGGGGAAAAAAAGAAACCTAAACAATGTATTGCATTCAGCACATCTTCTGCAAAAGACTTCTACAATTTTAAAAAGCAAAGATGTCAACTTTGATGACAAAGGTGTAACTGACCCAAGCTATGGTTTTTTCAGTAGCCTCACGTGTGTGTGAAAGCTGGACAATGAAAAAGAAAGGCCACATTCAAATTGTGCTGGTAAAGAATACTGAGTATACCACAGACTGCCAAAAGAACAAATCAATTAGTCTTAGAAGAAATACAACCAGAATGCTCCTTAGAAGTGAGGATGGTGAGACTTTGACCCTTACTTCGGACACATCGTCAGGAAAGACCAATCGCTGGGAAAGAACATCGTGATTAGTAAAGTAGGGTCAGGGAAGATGAGGAAAGCCCTCAATGTGACACAGTGGCACCACAGTAACAAGGAAGACGGGACCAGACCACATTTAGTTCTATTGCACACAGGGTCTCTGTGAGTCACAGCCAACCTGATAGCAACTAACAACAAACTCAAACACAACGAGATATTAAATCTTTATGCATCTGTAACTGCATATTAATAACTTCCTTTTTGTAACCTAACCACTGTAAGGATTCTTTGGCACACGAACAGATTTCTTTAAGTGGCAGACTAGTTTTCCAAAGTTTGTATTAAGAACAAAATTCATTCAAGATCATGTCAAACACTGTAAATCACATACCTGATAAGGGACTTATGACCAGAATATATAAAGAACTCTTAAAACTCCATAATAAAAAGGAAGCCCAATCTAAAAATGGGATTTGAAAAGGACTTGAAATGACATTTCTTCAAAAAGACATACAAATGATCAATACACACATAAAAAGATGTTCAACAGCATTTGTCATTAGGGAAATGCAAATCTAAACCACAATGAAATACCACTTCACAATCACTAAACCAAAAAACCAGACTCACTGCCATCAAGTCAATGAAATACCACTTGACAATCACTAAACCAAAAAACCAGACTCACTGCCATCAAGTCAATTCTGACTACAGCGACCCCCTATGGGTTTCTGAGGTGATAAATCTTTATGAAAGTAGATTGCCCAGTATTCCTTCAATGGAGTGGCTAGTGGGTTTGAAGCACTAGCCTTCAGGGTAGCAGTCAAATGCCTTAGGCACTACGCCACCAGAGCACCTCATAATGTGACACTTCCTTGAGTTTTTGAGGCAGTATCACTATGGAAGTAGATTGCCCAACCTTCCTTCCAAGGAGTGGCCGGTGGGTTTGAACCTCCAGCCTTCTGGTTGGTTAGCAGTCAAATGCCTTAGGCACCATGCTACCAGAGCTCCATCACAATCACTAGGATGGGTAAAATTTAAAAAGATAATAACAAGTGTTGATGAGGATATAGAGAAATTTCATATACACTGCTGATGGGATCATAGAAAATGGTACAGACACTTTGGGAAATGGCTTGGTAGTTCCTCAAATGTTAAAAAGAGTTACCACATGGCCCAACAATTCTCCTAGGTATATATCCAAGAGAACTGAAAACATGTCTACACAAAAACTTATTCACAGCAGTATTATTTCTAATAGCCAAAAAAAAACGTAAACGACCCAAATGTTCATCAACTGACATCTGGATAAATAAAATGTTCTATATACAGCCATGTAATTGAATATTATTTGGCAATAAAAAGGAATGAGATATTGATAAATCCTACAACAACGATGAACCTTAAAAACATTATGTTAAGTAAATGCAGTCAGACACCTGGGATCTTAAAAGCTTGCAAGTAGCCATTTAGATGCAATGATGAGTCTCTCTTCATCCAGAGCAAAGAAGAATGAAGAAAACCAAAGATGCATGAAAACAATGAGTCCAAGCGACGGGTACACCATGCGATCCTCAGCCTACACCACTATGAGACCAGAAGAACTAGGTGGTGCCTGGCTACCATTGTCAACCACTCGGAGGGGGATCTACGTAGGAGATCCCGGATAGAATGGAAGAACAATGTGGAACAAAACTGAAAATCATTTAAAAAAAAAAAAAGAGAGACCAGGTTTTCGGGTCTGACAGAACCTCATGGAACCCCTGAGACTATGGCTCCTAGCTGCCCTTCAGGTCTGGAATTGAACCTACTCCTGTGGCTTCCAGCCAAACAAAAGACAGGCATATGA